TCCCCACTCTGTTCCTGGTGAATCCTCTCACCCTCCGCATCTCTGGCCTGTACCCCAGTTCTGTATGAATAAATAAATCTTTAAATATATATATACAATATGTAAAAAAGTAAGTATAAAACGCATACAAATGATGAAGTGGCTATGATAATATTAAAATAAAAATAGACTGCAAGACAAAGAAACAAATATACATAGCAAAGCATATATGAAAATGAAAAAAAATACACCATATTGAATAAATGTTGTTGCGAAATCTAATCTGTCATCTGCATGAAAAAATAAAACTTATTGTATATTTTCCTTCCTGATGCTAAATTCCAGAGGAAAGCTGAATTTAAATATTTTAAAAATGAAACACTTGAAGAAAACTTGGAAATCTATTTTACTATTTCAATGTGTATTACATCTCTTTCCCAAATAGAAAGAAATGTAGGAATCTAAAATTACTTAACAATCTAAAACTCAAATACTGAAAAAATGGCAACACAAACTTAAAAGAGACAAATTGGAAAATAATATGTTAACATGTATGTCTGAAAAGAGACCAATTCTTTGATAATAAAAAATTCTCGCAAATCAAAAAGAAAAATACAATATTCTGATAAAAAAATAGACTTTTGTTACAAGTAGATGGCCAACTGAAAAATAATAAAATGAATAATATGATAAAACATTCTTATTTTCCTTGAAATTTGGAAATTGAAACAAAAAGAGGATATTTTTCTTTATCTCACTGACAAAGCAAAAACGTTTCATAATACTCAATTTTGTAAAGATTAATGAATAGATGTATTCATACATGTATTAATACATGTATTTATTGCTGTAACCTGTTTAAAAACCAATTTTGCAGTATCTCTAGTTAAAATGCACATGAGTTTCATTCTAATAATTCCACTTACAGAAATTTTAATTACAAATGCACTTGCACATTTTTGTCATGTTCTATCTACAAGGACATTTATAGCAGCATAGCTTGTGGTAGAAACAGTAAAAAAAAAAATACCCATTAATGATGAACTAGGTAAATATTTTGGGCTGAAAATGGAATATTCTGCACCATTAATATCACTGAATTCAATTTATTAATGATTATAATAAAGTCCCTAGCAAACATCACTGGGAAAACTAGCATAAGGAAGAACAGTCAATGACATGTATACCATTAGGCAAAATAGTTTGTGATAACTGTGTTTGTGTGTATGTGTATTAACACATGTATATAAATGTATATAAACACATGTATATGTACAAAGACGTGTTTAGTCTTAAATATTTATAGACTGTTCTAAAAAAATGTGAAACTGCTATCATCTATGGAGGTAATTCTGGAATACACACTGTTCTGGGTAGGAAATATATATCCTGAAAATAATCAATTTTGTAATGTTTAAATATATATGTACATGATGCATATGTCATTGAAAAATTCACCGTTTCAAAACGTTAGTGAACTACATTGATAAATTACTTCTTGGACCATGAAAAGGGAAGTAAAAGGTCTTTGATATGATATGCTTTATCTCGGAGCAATAACTCACTTGATTGAGCTGTGCTTCTCCCTCCTCAATTTAGGAAGATTATTTCAGTTTTACTATGTGTCAGGCCCAATGACAGGTGCATAAAGCATCAAAATAAACAAAGAAAGTAGCTGCCTTTAAGCAACTCACAGTTCAATGGGAAGATATTCAGAGTCTCAAAGGAAATCTGTTGTTCTGTCTCATGTGTAAAATGTTCAGGAAAGGCAGATTGAAAAAAAAAAAAGTTACCAACTTTGGCAACATTACTCTTCTACACCGCACCAAATCATTGGTAATTGTCAAAATCTCTGAGACAGTACATATCTCCTACTAAGTTTTCAAAAAAGATCCCAAAGAGACTTCTTTTAAGAAGAGTTATTAGTCACCATGTATTCGGTCCACTAAACTTTCCCCCTCTTCTATTCCTTTGACTGGAATGTGCCTTCTGCTTGGAATGTTCTTAAACTTCTATGTTCCTTCTTTGACAACTTCTACATAATGTCAAATATGGCTTAAATGTTTCTCCAGCAAAGCTTTTCTGGTTTTCTGCCACAAGAATTAGGTGGGGAACATTTCCTTGATACGGTCACAGTTCTTTTTAACTTATATTTAATCATTTACTTGTTAGATTCTCTTATTAAATGAAAATTTACTTAAATTCCTATCCTGTGCCTAGAGGAGGAATTCAATGATGGTTTGATGAATTCAACTATAGAACTTTATTGCTCTCCGCTGGGTCCTTCCTGTTTCCCTCCGTGCCCATTCTCTACCCTTCCTCCCACCCCAGACAACCCCCTGCCAAACACATTGTTGCACTTCTCAAGGCTAAGACCACAAACTCACTTGTCCAGTGACAACCCAGGGAAGGCAAACTTGCCCAGGCAGATGCGGTAGATACAGCTCAGGGGAACGTGCTGCAGCTGTGCACAGCTAAGCATGATGAAGTCATATTTGCAGATCAGGAGAGACTTGTCTGTAATGATCAAAATCCTCTCCTTCTCATTATTCCAGTGGTCAATCCTGTAGGAATCATCACAGGAGAGAAAAGTTGTTGTAATTTTCACAAGTACAAGATAATGGCCTTCAAATGTGCTTCATTGAGAGTTAAAAGGTTTCTAGGCTACATTATGTTCTCTGCTAAAAATCCAAATCTACACTTTCCCTTCACATGTTCATTCTCAATGATGAACACCTGAAACTCATGTGATACCATGTTACTTTGATAAGAATTGAATTAAATTAAAAAAAAAATCAGAATGTAGGCCTCCCTGGTGGCACAAGGGGTTAAGTCTCAGCCTCATAAAGCTATTGGTGGTCACTACAGCACAAGTTCGACCTAATCAGGAAGCTGACCCACCTGCACAGCAGACCCTCGCCTATCTCGTCCTCTACTTCCCTCAGCAGTGTATTTCAGTTGATCTGCCTGTTCTACTCCCCGTTCTGTCTCTGATGATTACTCTCACCCACTGCAGCTCAGTTCTTGTATACATAAATAAAATAAATCTTAAAAAAAAAATAATGGCATTTATTGAACAATTTGTACTAATAGAGACATAGTGAGGTTTGATGATCACATTTAGCACCATTCCATCTCTTTTAGTATGACCCCACAACCAAGAGACAAAAGGCGATGGAGAATACAGGAATGTTTTATGTCCATAGAGCTCACTACCCATACCCATGATAGGATCCATTAAGGACATGGCAAGTGTACGTTATGTTAGCAATCAATTAATTCATGAGTCTTCATACATTCCAAGGTCTTTGTGAAATACTTTGTGAAGCAAATCTCGATCCAAGTACCCCAAAAATATTTCTTTATTCTAACTCAATCTGTATCATAAACTTTGTATTACATTATGCTAACTCCCAAAGACACATAGCTGATGGGAGATCAGATAAGATTAAACAAAAATCCACTGATTCCCAAGCCCTATTTTAAGTTCTTTCTATCATATCCTTGTTATAAGGGAAGGTAGATTCTTTTGAGCTAAGAACTAATTAAACACTAAATACATATTTATTGAATTGATTGCTTGAGACTTGAGCTTCTTCTAGAACATGCATGAAAGTCCCTAACTAAATATTAAGAATATCTGAAATGGAGAGAACAAGATGAAAACAAAACAATGGCTTCTTTAACATCAACATAATTTACAATTTTTGCTGTCTGCTCTAACCTTTAATATAGTAAAGCACATTATGAATTTCAACTATTTCAATAAACTATGTTTTGCCTTCCCTACAAGACTGAGAAAGATGATTGGTGATTGACTCATGTCTGAACTCTCACTAAATTACTCTACTTTATTAAATGACATCTTTTTTGTCTTAGGATCAAATTTAAATTACCTAAAATGTTCACAGTAACCAAGATCATCTAGCCTCTGTCTAAACTATCATATTGAGCTGAGAACACTCATCGTGTGAGTAGTGGTTATAGTGCCTCCTCTATGAAGAATTTCTTAAACTTCTATATAATTGTGTCCCTTTATCATACTCTCTTAAAGTATCCTAATCCTTGCTCCTTTGTGATACCTACTATGATTTGTAAGCAGGAACATCTGTAACATGTTTGGCAACAGCAACCATGTAGGCACTGACTTTTTCTTACTATCACTGGCAAAATCTAGTATATGTTAGCAATCAATTAATTTGTGATTATTCATATCTTCCCTGAATATCTTCAATAGTGAAATACAGAGGGTAGGGTAATGCCAGTGAGTGTTGATTGGGCATCATTCTTATGTGTAAGTATGAGGGAGTGTGTATGTGTTTGTGTGTGTGTGTGTTCATGTGTGTATCCCATAAGGGAGCAGAGATGGTGTCTGCTAGACTACTCATTTATTCAGTGCCTTTCAGTTAGCCTATGATAAATAAAATCTGTTAAGGGAACAGATGAATTCCAATCATAATCATTTTGGAGGCCTTCACACTAAGTGAGGGCATGGGTGGGGACTTCCAGCTCTATTACTTACTCTAGAAGATTGCACATTTAACCTGACTGTGCCTCATGTTTTTTATCTCTAAAATGTAGCCAATAGCAATACTTACTTCCTTGGTTTTGGGAGAACATTAAAGAAAATCTTTCTCATTCAGTACTCTTCAAATAAGCTATTACTGTCACTGTCAGGGACCTCAGTATTTAAGTGCACTTGGGTAACCTAAATATGTCACATTCCTCAGAGTAATCTAAAGCCAGAAGATGTGCATGTATAAGTAGGAGCTAAATCAATGGCAAAAGGAACAGGAAAGATGTGAAGAAAGTAAAAAGGAAAGATGAAGGAGCACAAGGAGAAACAGAGGAAGACAAGAGAGCTGAGGTCATTAATGAGGGCGTGATTTCATGGCAGCCATTTTATATTTATAATATTCAGTCCACATCTCTCCATAACCCTTTGGAGGTTACATCCAAAGTCTCTGAGCCAGAACAGGGTAGTAGAGTTAACAGGTAGTCAATGGTGGAGACAATGGTAGTGCAGAATCTGCAAGATTTGTTTTAAATCTTGGTTTTACAGTTTCTATCCACTTCAAAATGTGAGGGTACTCAATACTTCCACTGAGAGAGGAAAGAATGCTTGCTAATCTGTTCAACACTCTTAGTCAGAAAGAGATAGGAATTCTGAAGTGTCTTATCAGATATCTACATAAATTTCTCTAAATAGATTGCATCTACTTAGCAGCAAGTTATAAGCTGCTGCCTAATAAACCAGACTTGTTTTTAGTATATATATATATATAAAAAAAAACCTGCAGCTTTTGGCTGAATGGTTTTACTGAAAATGTCAGCACTCCATAATGAGATTTATTTTAAAAGGTAAAGGATTTGGGGTAGAAGAGAATTCTTTTTAGGAACACACAGTGCTCTGCTATGACACAGACTTTGCATAATTTACATGTCAGGAAAGTATGAACTCAAGTAAACACACAGATTCATAAATAGTTTGGGTCTATCTTCTCCAATTCCTGGGTGGTATATTTGTCCTGATTTCTGTGACCGGCCGCAAAAGGAAAGACAGGAGGCAGAAAGGCTGAGCAAGCAGAGTTTATTGCTCCCAGGCAGCAGCTGAGACAGAGGCCCTAGGTTGGGGTCCGCAGCCTACTCCAGTGCTATAGGGAAAAAGGGTCTCTTATATAGATTCTAGGTTCAGATTCTAAAGGGGTGGCTCATCGCTGTGTCCCCTGATGTGAGGCCCACGGGTATCTCCTGGATGTGAGGCCCAGTTAATTATCACCCGCGGATGTGAGGACCAGTTTATTATCGCCCTTATCTAGTCCCTCCAGTAGTTGTGTTATTGCAGCACCTGGTCACCCCCAGCAATATTTATTTATTTGGATTTTATTTCAACCCCTTTTCCTTTCTAAATCATGAAGAAAACACAGAATCTAATATTTCTAATATTAATATAAATGAAAATTGATGATAATAGTCACAAGCTTAGAAATAAGAATACTTTATTTTTGGCACAACTTATGGGATTTCAAAAGCCCTTGAGTAGCAATGGTTTCATTTAATCTTTACAATAGCCCTTTGGAATTTAAAAACAAGAAAAGTCAAGTCCTGAGACCCTTAAAATGACTTGCCCACTCTTTACACAAGCAGGTGTGTATGTATCTGAAACAGGCATGGAGACATCAAATCCTAGCAGTGTTGGGTTTCCCCCCAGTACCCCCACACACTCAATTAAAAGACCTTTCAGTGTGGTGCTCAAATGTGATCAACATACCTCTGACAGGAGTTGATGTGCTTCTAGATGCTACTTTCTTTCAAGCACTCATGACTGTCCCTTCCATATTGTTCTCTTCCAGTGTCCCCATCTTAAGGAAGATTGCTCCTTCATCCTCTTATGTTAGCGAAATAAATCGCAATCTTTTGAGAATGAACATACTGTTGCAGCAAGTACTAAACATCTTACTCACAAAACATCTCTCAAAATCACACTTTGTTCTACCTCAACTTCATGATCCTCATCTAGTTTTTCTTTATCTCCTGCCTACACTGTCATAATCAACCTCTCACTAGACTTGGTATATAGCCTCCTTGATTTGATTTACTTATATTTACTCTTGTTCCTGTGCAACCTCTTCACCATAGTGCAAATGAGAAGGATCCATCAAAACAAATCACAGGCCCTCTGTGGTGGCACAACAGGTTAAAGAGCAGCACTGTGAAGCTAGCTGCAGCCATGGCAGCATGAATTCAATCCCCAGCCAGGGAGGTGGCACACATGGTGTGGCAGACCTCTCCTGTGTCACCTGCTGCTCCCTTCAGCAATGTATTTCAGTCACTCTGCCAGAGTGCTCACCACTCTGTCTCTGGTGAATCCTCTCAACCCGTCGCACCTCTGGCTTATACCCCAGTTCTTATATGTGTAAATAAAGAAATGTTAAAAACAAAAACACACACATACACAAATATAGTCTTAATTCTCTGTCCCCTCATGGGATGGCAGTGTTGGGAGTGGCAAGGGGTGAGGAAAAGATTATGCAAGTCAGGCAGAATGAGAAGCCTAGAAGTGTACTTCCTACACTGGAAGTAATGTTCAGCCCTGACCCCACGGCAGACTCTTACTTGTTAGCATTGAGAACAAAGGTTGGGTGAGTATAGAGGAAATTCATATGGGTGAAGATGGGAATAGGGATGTAATCTAATGTGACCAGAGGCTATTGTTTGGGGTTCTCCATTATTCCTCCCAGTCTAAGCAAACTGTCTCTATTTTACTATCTATCTTTAGAGGTTACATTCAAAAATCTCTGAGCCAGAATAGGATAGTAGAGTTATCAAGTAGTCTAATAATATCTGCCTGCTGTTTTCAATAGATACAAAATCCCCATTATATTCCTAATACCAGGACTTTTGTACTTGATGAGAGGCCCTCTGCATGACCCTACACCTGGATGACAAGTAGGAACTCTGGACACTAAGACAATTATTCCCAAGAATAGTGCCCCACTCAATAGTTCCCCTGTAGTCCTCCCTGGTGGTGTGAGGGTGTAAAGAAGAGCACTACGAAGTTATA